AAATTTGCTGGCATATTGAATGCAGCACTTTAACAGCATCATCTGTTAGGATTTGAAATAGCTCATTTGCAGTTGCATCACCTCCACCACTAGCTTTGTCTTCATTCTTAATTGCTCCTTATTTTGGGATCAAATTCTATATTGTCATTTACTTTCTGTTCGTAATCAAAGGTATCATTTCCTTGCCCTTTGGCTTTCATTGTGTTTAGAAGCCAGTGGTTATGTGACTACTGTCTGCTTTAGAAGTCTTTTTTTCCTGTACCCCAATTCTTATTCCTCCTTAATTCTTCTCTCCTTCTGACTTCTCAATTTTTCCTGGTCATTTTTACTATATTATTCTTTTAGTCATATTTTCAACTCCTTTTATCTCTTTAAATAAAGTCCTTGAGGGACTGTTTCTGCTGGTTTTTACTTTCGATTCCCTCTTTCGTTGACTCTTTAATGATTTCTATGTATGAACTCATATTTCTTGAAACTGTGGGAATGTTTTGAGAGCTAGGAAGAAAATGGACTCTCCTAGAGGTTTTTTGTTTTGCTTCTACCAGGCAGCTGTGCTCCACACACTACAACTGTGGAGCCCCATGAAAGTAAATTCTCAGGCTGTTAGTGTGAATTAGGGCTAAAAACCCATGTGAAGAGCTGATTTGGGTTTATGAAATTCTCTCCCAGTTAGTAATAAGGTTCAAGACTGGTAATTCTCCTTGCTTTTCCCTGGGGGTGAGGGGGGACCGTGTACAGGTATGTCTCTGATTCTGTCTTACATTTGGCTGTAGTACTTTCGTATTATTTTTCACCTTTATGGAGGAAAGGTCTTTGACTCTTCAGCCTCTCCTTTGATGAATTCTGGGGTTTTTCTGTTACTCTCTCCGCATACTCACCAGCCTAACAAGGCTGTGAAGATTGAAACTCATCTGGTTTAGCATCTGTCCTCAACTTAGTCTTTGAGATAGTCTTCATTCATTTTGGCCTCAGTAGTTCTTACTGTCTTGCTGGCTTATTAATGTGAAGATATTTTTTCTTCCTATTTTAGCCGCCATTTTTCCTGTGAGAAGTGTGAGAGGGCCAGGCACAGTACATCGCCCTCCCTCTGCTGGAAATGGAGTCTTGACTGCCTGCTGAGCCTCCGTTACATAGCCTTCCTGTTGTAGTGTTATGCTAACACTTACGTGAAGCTCAATTGAAAGTCACAATCGTTTGATTGTTAAAAGATTATCATTTTAAATACTGCCAGCAAAGACAGTTTTAAAACCTAGTTATAAATAATAGAAGGCTAACTTTAAGAAATCTTTTCACAAAGATATGAATGGAATTTTGGTATTTTTAGCTGTGAAAGGAGGAAGTGGAGGAAGTAAGTAAACCAATGAGGGAGACTACCTTATTTTATACTTTTAACAAAATTAGAAACTTAGAACTTTTAAAAAGCTAGCTTGGTGCTGCAGTGACTAACTACTGGTTTTGGATAATTTTTCTTTTTAAAATACATCATAATTGTTACTGATTTAATTATTAGCAACTAGGATTATGAAATCTAGAAGATACGTACAGAAAATAATTTTTGAGGGGAAAGCTTGATGAATTGGCTTCATATTACAACTTGGAGTGAGCTATCATTATTTCTCTAGCCTCAGTTTTTTTGCCAGAAGGGTCTCTGAGGACCTGGGGAGTTCAGTATAGTTTTTTGGTCTGTTAGAGCCTGAATTCAGTTACAGAGATTGTGTTCTGTTTGTTTTTCTTGGTTTCTGGTAGGATGATGAAAGGAATACTAGAACACTGTTTTTAATTTATGTTGAAAAGTTATTATTATCTATGGCTGTGCATGAGCTGGTACGTCTGAAATGTTGTCAGTTAAAATATCTTACTGACAACCAGAATTTCTCCATACTTAATTAGGTTTATGAGCACAAAAAAGAACTAGCTACGTAACAGGCAACTCAAAAAGGATATTTAAAGGTCACTGTAGCTACCACTAAGCTACAGTTGAAGCTAATTTATTTAGGAAATTATTCTTTGCAGTATGTTTTACTTTTTGCTCCTGTAACATTGTGCTTATCAAAAGCACTTAGGGAAGAAATTGATCTACTGATGATTCTTTAGGAGGGGACGGAGAGGGCTGAAAATAATTTCTTCCTATTATGCTTTTATATTCAGCCATGGGTTTAAAATAAGAAACCTGACCTTAATTGCCAGTAGCCACATTACAAGCATTTAGTTCAGTTCAGTTGCTCAGTCGTGTCCAACTCTTTGCGACCCCATGGATTGCAGCACACCAGGCCTCCCTGTCCATCACCAACTCCCAGAGCTTACTCAAACTCATGTCCATCAAGTTGGTAATACCATCCAACCATCTCATCCTCTGTCGTCCCCTTCTCCTCCTGCCTTCAGTCTTTCCCAGCATCAGGGTCTTTTCCAATGAGTCAGTGTTGCGCATCAGGTGGCCAGAGTATTGGAATTTCAGCTTTAGCATCAGTCCTTCCAATGAATATTCCGGGCTGATTTCCTTTAGGATGGACTGGTTGGACCTCCTTGCAGTCCAAGGGACTCTCAAGAGTCTTCTCCAACACCACAGTTCAAAAGCATCAATTCCTCAGTGCTCAACTTTCTTTATGGCCCAACTCTCATATCCATACATGACTGCCGGAAAAACCATAGCTTTGACTAGACAGACCTTTGTTGGCAAAGTAATATCTCTGCTTTTTAATATGCTATATATGTTGGTTATAACTTTCTTTCCAAGGAGTAAGCATCTTAATTTCATGGCTGCAGTCACCATCTGCAGTGATTTGTGTGTCTAGTTAGTAAAAGTTAAAATGTAAAGAATACTTAAATACATTCATTAGTCAGTCAATATTCATTAAGCTCACAACCCATGCCAGAGACTGACAAGCCAAGTCTCTGGCTTAACATATGAAAAAGTAAAAATGCAGCATGTGTTAAGTGAAGGAAAGGAGGTTACACACCTGTATTCACATGTATGTACACAAAGGAATATTTGAATAATATGCATAAAAATATTAATAGTCATTCTGGATGGAATGCATGTTGCATTTATTTTCTTTTGCTTCTCTGTGTTTTAAAAACTTTTTAAAAAAAGTTATTGTGAGTAAAGTGGAATGTCTGGGTAGGGAGGAAGAGTAAATGCCTGATTGCTTATCAAAGGAAAATGAGAATTGATACTAAAATAACTTTGTGGCAAGTGTGTCTTCTCACTTCTTGTTAGAGTCCTTGGAGGTAGTGATATTATCCGGTTTTGCCGCAGAAAAAACTGAGGCTCTGAGACGTTTTTACATGTCCAAAGTTACACAGCTGGTAAGTGATGGAGCAGACTCCTACGCCTCTCTGCCTTTAGGTCCCGTCAATTTGCCGTCAATCATGCCTGGAATGGGTTTCTTGCTTTTTAGAAAAGTCTGATATACCCCTTGGCAGTTTCTTACATCTATTTAAATTGACAACATTATATGAAAAACATGCTCTAGTCTATTAAGCAAACTATAGAGTTGGATTTTAGGATAACAGTTGATACTTAGATTTTTAGAACTGGTGTTTCGTCAATTACTCCTTGGAAGAAAAGCTATGACAAACCTAGACAGCGTATTAAAAAACAGAGACATCACTTTGCCAACAAAGGTCTGTATAGTTAAAGGTATGGTTTTTCCAGTAGTCATGTATGGATGTGGCCGTACATACTTTGGACCATAAAGAAGATTTGATGCTTTAGAACTGTGGTGCTAGAGGAGACTCTTCAGAGTCCCTTAGACAGCAAGGAGATCAAACCAGTCAATCCTAAAGGAAATCAATCCTGAATATTCACTGGAAGGACTGATGCTGAAGCTCTAACACTTTGGCCACCTGATGCAGAGTCGACTCATTGGAAAAGACCCAGATACTGGGAAAGATTGAGGGCAAGCGGGGAAAGGGGTGACAGAGGATGAGATGGTTGGATGGCATCACTGACTCAGTGGACATGAGTTTGAACAAACTCGAGGAGATAGTGAAGGACAAGGAAGCGTGGTGTGCTGCAGTTCATAGTGTCGCAGAGAGTCAGATACAGCTTAGTAACTGAACAACGTGAATCTTAGAGATTTTGTAACTCTTAAGACCTTGTTTTTCCTTTTTAGCCCTCATGTGTGATAATACTTTTTTATTATCTTTTACTAGGTGACTTTATAAATATTTAATGAATATAATTTAATTTTTATTCCTAAGAATTTTCATGTCACTTCACATTATCAAACCATGTATATTCAGTTTTGTAAATTAATTTATTTATTTTAATTGGAGGCTAATTATTTTACAATATTGTGGAGGTTTTTGCCATCATTGACATGAATCAGCCACAGGTGTACATGCGTCCCACTGTCCCAAACCCCCCTCCCCCTCCNATTGCTTGTAGACTTTTGGATAGCAGCCATCCTGACTGGCGTATAATGGTACCTCATTGTGGTTTTGATTTGCATTTCTCTGATAATGAGTGATGTTGAGCATCTTTTCATGTGTTTGTTTGCCATCTGTATATCTTCTTTGGAGAAATGTCTGTTTAGTTCTTTGGCCCATTTTTCATTGGGTTGTTTATTTTTCTGGTGTTCGGCTGCATGAACTGCTTGTATATTTTTGTGATATATTCAGTTTCAGTTAAGGAAATATTATCACCATATCATATAATCAGATCCCTTGGTTTCTCATAAGCAAAAAAAGATGCAGAATATTTTTAAACTTTTTATTTTGCTTATTTTCCATAAATTCTTCTACTTAAAAATAAATAAGTGTGTAAATAAAACCAAGATGACCGTTTTGATTAGCTTGAGTTCTGAGAGGTGTAGGTGACTTGATTTTCTTCTGTAATTAGGCAGTAGGACTAATTAGGAGTAAAGGCTATCCTGATTTTCATAAATTATGATTTAACTACATAATGATGTGACATTTTTATGTTCTCAAGTGAAACATTTTCTACATTGATGAAATAAAAATGCTTATAACTTTGGAAACTTTATTTTGAAATGCAGCTCACCGTTAATGAAGCGGCTGCTCAGCTCTGTGTAAAGGATAATGCCCTGCTGACAAGAAGAGATGAACTTTTTGCCCTGGCCAGGCAGATTTCTCGAGAAGTCACCTATAAATATACTTACAGAACCACCAAGTAAGTGTGTAACTGACAGTGCTTTTGCAGTTTGATAAAGTAGAGCTTGAAACACAGTCCACTGATAGAGTATATTTGAGAAAAGTAGAAGTGTGGTTATAATTCTATCAACAGTGAAATGAATTTTCAAAACATTGTTGCTGAAGTTTGTTACTTTGTCTAATCCTCTTTTATTGTCTTTTGAAAGATAGTTCCCTAGCGCTGTAGTGTTGGTCTGGTAGTGGTTCTCAGCATTCCTCTCTCACATAGATGCTTTGGTTTTGAGTGTGATGAAAGGATTTAGTTGAGCAGCATTTATAGACTCATTTGTATACTGTACAAGCTACGTGAACTTTGTGAACTCTCTCTGAAAGGAGTGTGTTTGCTTTTGCAATGTGTTTGCCAATCTGAGGGGCCTCCCTGGTAGCTCAGATAGTAAAGAGTCTGCGTGTGGTGCGGGGCACCTGGGTTGGATCCCTGAGTTGGGACGATCCCCTGCAGAAGGAAGTGGCCAGCCCACTCCAGTATTCTTGCCTGGAAAATCCCATGGACAGAGGAGCGTGGCAGGCTACAGTTCCATGTGGTCTCAAAGAGCTGGACACAATTGAGCAACTTCACTTTGCCATCTGATGAGATTAGCTAGAGATAAAGACTTCATTACCCAGTATGCAAAGGCAAATTGGAAAATACTAGGTTACTAGTGAGTGAAGTATGGAATATATGTTTGAAATAAACCTCATGTTGAAAAGCAGCAGTGATTTTTAAATTTAATGTAAACATACACATAATATATTCTTCATCTTACCCTCACTTAAACCCTAAGCATTGTCTGTAGATAGAGGAACATTTTGATCTTGTTCACTTGGCTTCATATGGACCCTGATTTCCAGTGCGTGCTCAGCTGTGCTTGCCACTGCTTCTGTGAGGAGATGAATTAGCGTGACTGAGTGTATATTGAAAAAACCATATCTTGAGTGCCCTTCCCAGCTCTAATAAATCACATTCTCTGGGGATGGAACCTTAGAGTCCAAACTTTCACAAGCAGTTGCTATGATTCTTGTGCGTGTTCAAACTTGAAAACCACCTAGACAGGCACTTGCTTTCATCACCATTATTTTCCCTAACTCCTAGTGGCTTTGTTGTCTGTTCTGTCAAGAGCGCACGTACTTAGAAATCAGCAACAAGTAAAATTATGCAAAATAAATGATCAGGGTAAGAATATACAGCAACATTAGAGGATTATTTACAAGATTTTTTTTTTTAGTTGAATGTTCAAGAGCTGATTTTTGTGACATTTTCTTCACTGTGTCATACAAAATTTTCTGACATTTACATAAATAAATTTCTTTAATCAAAGTAGTACGTGTACATGGTATATGAAGTCTTATTACACAAGTCTTAAGTACACAAGGCTTATTACAAAGCAGTTACCCTGCTTCCCCTTCTTTCTGAATACTAAGACCCAGAAACCACTGCTTTCAACAATTTTTATTTTTTATAGTATTTATTTACATTTGTATATTTTAAGTTAAATCATTTTGCAATACGTAAGACTTTCACATTATAAGTTGAAACTAAGTAAAAAGCTGATGCCAGAAGTTGCACTCTCGTTTCTGTGTTTTTTACTCTGTTCCTCTTCTCATTGTTGATAGTTTTTATTAGTTTCTTTTTCATCCTTCTAGTGTCTGTCTATGTGCATGTATTTCTCACTTACACCTTTTGGTTTTTTTGGAAAAAAAAGAAGTAGCATGTGTCTACATTATGTTGTATTTCATTCTTAGTTTAACATGTCCTAGAGATCTTGCTGTATTAGTACAGATACATCTTCGTCACTATTTTTTTAACAGCTTCAGGAAACTGCATTATGTGGATCTACCATGATTCATTTAACCAGTCCCTTGATGGACACATGACTTGTCTCTAGTCTTTTGTCATTATAAGTAATACCACATTAACCTCATACATATTTTGTTGATTCTGAGATGTGTTTTTCCACATTTTAACATCTTTTGTGTTGAGGTATAACTTAAAAATTTATGAGTTGCCATAGTTGAATTGGCGGTTAGATTTGATGTTTGTGTATGTGCTTCTGTGGGATAGATTCCCAGCAGAGGGATACCTAAAGATCAAGGGAAGATGCATGTATAGTTCTGATATATAGACAAAATGTACTTTAATCTCATGTAGCCTTAGCATTCATCTTAAATGGTCATTATTGTCATTTTATTCTAAGTTGTACTGATTCATGAAGGATCTCATAGAATACAGTCCTCGATTTTTTCCCTTTTTCATTTTATGGTACTCATTAATACTGAGTATTTTCTGTTTTAGGCATTCTTAGGTAGTGGCCTTTTAAAATGTATAATGTAGTTGTGTTTGTCTGTTTCCCCATTGTTAACTTAGAAATTATGAAAAGTCTCTTTTTCATTATTTAATGTTCATTGTGAATGTCTTACTTTTGGTGGCAAGGTTCCAGAGTTGTTTGTTTTGGTGGAAGTTTATAGATTTAGATGCCTTTAGAAAAAATTTGTTACCTTCTCAAATTTTTCTCTCTCCCTCATTCCCCTCAGGTCAAAATGTGGAGAGAGAGATGAATTATCCCCGAAGAGAATTAAAGTAGAGGTATGATTATGTGTTATCTTTTCTTATGCTAATAGTGTTTGCTTACTAGTTCAACTGAAAAAGAAGGAATGGTCCCATCAGCTAGTGAGAAAATGTGAATTGTGGAATCTGAAAAATGATACAGAATGTGGTCACTTTGAAGTATCTGTAGTAATTTGAACTAGGATACTCAGAAAACTCCTAGAAGGAAACAGCAGTGATGAGCTTGGGGCCCAGTCAATTTATCAAAGGTTGATTTGTAAATAGTTGTTTCTTACAGATTTAAAACTCCTTACTGGTTAAACTGTCCCTTTTATAATTTTATTTATATCATTAGTCATCAAGTAGACTCAAAGGAGCTAAAGTTTAATTTCTTTATATTAAATATCTGAGAGAAGTGACACTTCAGTAGCTGTAAGTTATGAAAACTTTACTGTAATTAAAAGCCTCTTTTAGGGTATAACTACTGAGGCTGTCTTTCTGATTTTAGACCTGTGAGTGGTAAGATGAGTTGAGCAAGAAAAATATGTTTTTCTTAGGGCTCTCAGAACTAGTTTCAGAATGACTGCTCTTTAATTTGGATTGATACTTTTCTAAAGGCCAATCTGAAGCAGAGCAGGCAGCTCCTTTTTTTCTTGGACAGGGGAGAGAGGTCACTACTCTTGGTCATTCATTATTTAATTTCTTGTTAAGGAAAACAAGCTATGTTTAACTACCCTAAATTTCCATAATCAGGTTATTCTTGCTAAGCATCTGATTGCCTGCAATAATCTTTCATTTATACCAAAGCCAGAGTTAATCTTTTAAAAACATACATCCCTTTTCTTGCTTAAATCTTTCTAGTGGCTGTCTACTCTGCCTAGAATAAAAGCTACATTTTTTCCTGAGCCTCCGAAGACCCCGCCTGAGCTGACTCTGACCCGACTCTCTAACCTCATCTGCTTCCACACTTCCCCATTCTTACTGTGTCCCAGCTCCACTGACCGCCTTTCTGTTCCTGGAACACGTCAGACTCAGGTGTGCCTCTGCGCTGGCTGGCTGTTGCCCCCCCCCCCCCCCCACCCCGGATCTCTCTCTAGGTCTTCACACACGGCTTCAGCTTGTAGGCTTCAACTTGTAGCCGTTTCCTCGGACCTCCCTGCTTGCCTCCTAAAGAGGCACCGTCACCCCCGCATCGTGTCTAGGCTCTCTGTCCTGGCGGGGCGTGTTTGTTTTCATAGCGCTTTCCCGTGTCTGAAACTCTTACGGGTGTGTTTTTAGTTTGTTACTGGTCTGCCCCATTAGGTGAAAGTAGAGCCCTTATCTGTCTGTCCACTACTTTTACTTAGTTTATAATAGCGCCTTGTGTGGGACTTAAAGTCTGTTAGATGAAATCATGAATGGCCATGAGTAAATACCTTTACGTTCTAAAAGCTTTAGCCATACACAGTGGTTCTCACTAAAGAAAAATGTCCAAAATGAGCGTCTTTTTTAAAAGTGTGTTTATGTTTGTAATCTACTTCAGTGTTAACTCTGGAGTAATGTTTAAGATGGGTTAACCTCACATATAGTACTCAAAAAACTTATTGAAATGACCTAAGGCCATTGAACGAGCTAGCTAGTGCAATATTTTCTCCTGTTGCCTCTCAAAATAATGAGTAAGAGAGGATCTCTGTGGATTTATCTGTGGGTGACTCTGCCTCTAGAAGGGAAACTGGATAAACAAAGAAACTACTAAAGGGTAAGTGGAGGATTTAGAGGCAGGAAGGTACAAAACCTACCCTGTGGCCAGGAAAGGTAATCAGTCAGCTACTGGGTTATTAGAGAATATGTCTGCCTCTCTTTCTCAACCATTGACCCTCCACACCATTGTGACTCAGGCCGTTCTCAAATTTTCAAGCCATGGTTTCCTTTTGTCTAGCTTCAGAGGTTACTGGTGAACACTGAAGTCTGAGATCATGAATCTCATGGACTCATGTTGGAGCTATAGTGTTTTCTTGTTATGCTGTATTGATAAGTCTTTCTGACCCTCTCAATAGCCCTGATCTGAAATGTAAGCTGATTATTTCTATATCCAGTTACAGTGTTTTGGATTTCTTCTTAGGAGCTCACAGTGTTAGGTTGAAGTTAGATGTGACCCTTCCAGTCCTTTATGTTCACTAGAGATATTTGAGTTATGCGTGCGTTTTAAGTTGCTTCAGTTGTGTCTGACTCTTTGCAACCCTGTGGACTGTAGCCCGCCAGGCTCCTCTGTCTATGGATTCTCCAGGCAGAAATACTGGAATGGGTTGCTGTGCCCTCCTTCAGGGGATCTTCCCAACCCAGGGATTGAACATGCATCGTTTAGGTCTCCTGCGTTGTCAGGCAGGTCCTTTACCACTAGCGCCATCTGGGAAGCCCCAATTGAATTATAGTTCTATATGATTAGTTTATTACTTTACTAGACTTCCCAAAGTCATTTGCACAGTTGTGGATTTAGAATTAAGATAATCATTGTTTCCTTTTTCTGTGAATAACAGTTCTAACCCTTCCTAAACAGAGAAGTGACTAATAAACCCCAAGTGTTCTTAAAGACACTAAACTCTTGATTTTAAAAATGAATAGGGACTTTGGCTTTGAATTTAGGACAGCTGTTTACTTTTGTTGGTTTATTTTTTTGTCTTGTTTTTGCTTAGTGTTTTTTTAAAAACTTGTGTATTGCTGAGCATTGATTTATGCAAAATGTGTGTTATGCCTGTGTGTATACCTACACATGTATATAGTGTAATGTGTAATGCTTTGTAAAATATACAGTACTGGCATAAATGGTGTTATATGCCTGTCCCTGCTAGGCACTTGAAATTCTCTTGTGTATAAATTCTCTTGTGTACTCTAAGTCAGATTTGAGATCCTGGAGCTGTTCATTTGGTTTCGGAAGCTGACACTGAGGTAGTTAGTATTAGCAGTATAGGGTTACACTCCCCTAAGAAGACCACCAAGCATTAGTGCTTTATTTATGTCTACCTTCTCTGTGGCTGCTGGGGTGGGGGGAGAATTTCTGGCATGAGAAGATTAGGGGAGGCTTAATGAGGAGATGCCATCTGAGCTGGATTTTAAAAGAAGGGTAGGATTTCAGAAGATAGGGATGTGGGGTGGAAGGTGGAGGGGCATTGCAAAGAAAGACTAGCATGGGCAAAGACACAGAGGTAAGAAAATACTCTGTGTGTTTAGAGAAAAGTAAGACCAGTTTTTCCAGAATATATGGCTGACACAAAGGACGTCATAAGTAAATGAGAAAGATTTTAGAATTCTCTGAGTATACTGTTTGTCTTATTTCATTTGAGTATTGTTTTGTGATTCTTAGCTCATTAATTCTCTATTAAGAAAAAGTTATATAAAAATAAGCTTAGCTTATTGTAGTGTAAGATTCCTAATTACTAGACTCAAATTAATGAGTCCTTTTTTTCTCTTCATTTTTCCAAAATTTTTGTCGGCAATCAGTGAGCATATTTGCCAAGTGGCTAAGTTTTTTCAATCTTAAAAATATCGTTTTTAAGATCTGTAACATCGGAGAACAAAAAGAAATGTAGTGTCTGATAGATGAAATAGAAGTAACTCAGAGTAGACATGGAAAGGAAAGAGAAACATTTTCTTTTGCGCCATTCTCAATGCATGAGAATACACTAAAAAACTAGTGCTTTATTCACGCTCAGTAGTTGCCATATTTTCCTGATCTGTTGGTGAGAGGTGGAGTGTAACAAAATGTTAAAATCCTTGTCTGATTTTTCTCTTATTAGATAGAGAATATTATCCATCCATATACATATATAGTTGTTCTCCCTAAGAAATAGTTAACTATTTATTTGATTTGTCAGTGTTGAGTGTCAGTATACATGTTGTGAAGTACTCAGGATAATCTCTTATTCTTGAATAGTGTTCCTTCCTGTAGGGATATAAGATATTAAGAAACGTAGAAGTTTGGAACTTTATAATTCCTGGAATATATGAGATAGTCATGGAGAAAAAAGGCTGCTGACTTCCGGAGGCCTTGTTAGGGTAGCCTGTCACTTACTATACAGCCTCTGGGGAAAGCCTCTTTGGCCCTATATGTTAGTGAGGTTTGGGAATATTTCTCCTATTGAGGCTAGATCGCCATCCTCTGTGAATCCACTTTCAGCTAAAATGCTAATGGATTACATTTACTCTTTTTCATTAGAGACCTCAAAGCTAGCTCTGGGTTATTTGTGGAAATAACTGATTTTATTGAATCTGTTATGTGCCTGTCCCTCTAAGCATTTAAAATTCAATATCACAAACCTTGTCTACTCTGTATGAAGGCTTTATGAGTTCCACTTACAGCCAAGGATAAACCCAGAAAGGCTCAGAAACTTACCTGCCTTTTAACATTGCTATCTAGTAGCCAGAGCCTGGCCTTCAAATCTAGGTCTGACTTGTAAACTTCAAAGCAGCACCACTCTCCTGGGTGCTGACGATCATTCACGAAGCACCTAAGGTGTGAAAAATGCTTTCCTCCTGCTAGAATGGTAAGAGTGGCAAAATGTGCACAAGACTGGGAGTCTGGGCAGAGGGAAAGAATGACAGTTATTATCTAATTCAAGGAAGTTATGCATCTTGAGTAGAAAATCTAACAATGTAAGTTACAAAATGTAATAACACCATTTGACATACTCATTTTTTAGAATGAAGAAGAAACAGTGCATTGGGAAGATTAGCAGAATAAATCAAGAAAAATTAGTTACAGTTTTTTATACTCTGTGACAGATGTATTTAAGAGGGCTTGATTGCAAGTTAAAGGAGATGAAAAATCAAGAGCCAAAGTCGCTGACTCTCTTGCCTTCCTCTCAGTTATAACATTAGTTATGAGTGGATTCAGTTGATATCTTTTCTTTTTTATCAAGAGCGTATCCTGTGAACAAACCCTGTCCTTTCCTCCAGTGTAATAAACATTACGGTAGGAGAGAGGGAGGATGAGTGAAACAAGCAGTCTTAGCCCTGGTGACAGCAGCTGACTGAATGGACTGTTACTGTTTAGTCCCGTCTCTCAGCTTTCTTCGCTCCCTGAAATCGCCGGAGACCAGGCGAAGGGATGAGAGGTGACAGCATTCTTGGTCCTATGTGGGCTGGGAGTGCACAGCAGTCAGGGATAACTGGAGGAGAGAAATGAAGTTTGTTAACAGAGACCAGAAAGTCAGCGGATTGGGGCTTGAAAAAGGACTTAGAGGAAGCATCTGCTAGCAGTCCCCACGGGGTGGGGGTGGGAGAGTGAGGAAGGAGGGGGAGGAGGGTCAGAATATCCACCTACGCTGTTACCAAGCTTGCTGAAAGGAAAGCTGGTCTAATTTGATGTAGACTCTTCCCCTCTGGATTAGAAAAACAGAAGCATTACAATCTGCTATTCATACAGAAAGTGTGAGTAGAAAAAGGGAAAATGCACGTGTGAGACTAAGAACATCTGTTGGAACAAGTCTTTTTAAAGATAGCTAAGCAGTGGTTTTAAAGCGAGTTGCTAGTATTTTGTGGAAAAGGATGAGGAGGGATGGGGGTGGAGACCAATGAGATGAGAGTAATTAGATCAGGAGCAGCATCCCACCCTGTATATTTTATTTTCTCAGGGCTCAGACTCAGACTTTCTCCAGTAAGGGAACACAGTGATTAATGACAGCAGCCAAAAATGGCAGGAAGACACATTGCTCATAGCATGGTACAGCTGGTTCCTGGGGAAGGAGCTTCAGAAACATGCTAAGAAGAGTCCTGTACCAAACATGATTTGGAAAGAGACCATTTTCTTGGGAAGGTTCTCAGTTTTATTTCTAAGTTGTATGTTTTGGGGTACCTTAAACTTACTTTCTATGTCATGAAGTGAAAGCTACTCAGTCCAGTAGTTTTCTCATCCATGATGAACTGTCAAAAGACTGGGACAAAATTGGGATGAGTAATGAACCCAGCTGAGAGAGACCACTGACCTGTGTTCTTTACTGCTTATTGCATGCTTTTCTTTCTCTTTATTAATGATGGAGCAGTGTCCATTTTGTAAAAACTTTGCCCATGTCGAGTTTGAGGTTCTCCCAGCTTTTCAGAATCCTCAGGGTTAATAATCCCGACAGTGGTGCAGCCATATATTTCTATAGCAATGTGGATTTTCCAAACCTTTACCATTTGCATTATTTTATTTAATCCCCACAAATTTCCATTGAGCAGTTAAACTATGTTTTAGTCTCCATTTAAAAACGGGGAAAACTGGAAGCAGTGAGGTTAACTTTCCATTCATCTGTTGATGGACGTTTAGGTTGCTTCTTGTGTCTTGGCAACTGTAAATAATGTTGCTGTGAACATTGGGATGCATGCATCTTTTCAAATTAGTGTTGTTGTTTCTTTGGGGTATATACACAGGAATGGAGTTGCTGGGTCATGTGGTGGTTCCATACTGCAAAGCTACAGTAACCAAAACAGTATGGTGTTAGCACACAAAAATAGACAAATAGATTAATAGATTAATGGAATAGGATAGGGAGCCCAGAAATAAACCCACACACCCATGGCCAGTTCTGCAGGAAGGAGGCAAGACTATACAGTGGAGAAAAGACAGTCTTTTTAATAAGTCATGCTGGGAAAACTGGATACCTACACGTAAAAGAATGAAATTAGAATATTCTCTAACATCATATACAGCAGTAAGCTGGAATGGATTAAAGACCAGACGCTGTAAAACTCCCAGAGGGAAACATAGGACGTTCTCTGACAGAAACCTTAGTAACTTATACATCTATTCTGTATCTGTCTTCTAAAATAAAGGAAATAAAAGAAATGCCTCTAGTAACTGCTGTTAGCTTCACAAAGGTGGCACCTCAAGGGTTTTATGGTTCTGACATAGGCTTTGAAGCCAATATCTGTAGCTATAAAATGAGGGAACTCTAGGGTTGTTCGTGGGATTAGATGAGACAGTACAAGTAAAATACAGGACATAGGTAGGAAACTGGTTGATTGCAGCCACCGGGAAAAGGATAGCTGCTCTCACTGATGTTGTTTTCTCCTGGCTTACCTCGTTGAACTTTCAAACTTAAAGGAGGATTTGTTAAAGATAAAGCTGGGTTTTAGGTCTAAATAAATTCTTAGGTGAAAAGTGGAATGACTAAGAAAAGTGTACTTTTTGTTTAAATTATATACACTTCTATAAAATTTATTCTAGTTCAGTTAATGATTGTATTCTATGCATTCCTTTGAGCCCAGGGTCCTTGGTCTTGTACAGGCTTAGAAAGGTGGCTATTCTTAATTTAGAATGGCTGATTTGTATATCAACCCACCATGGAGCTACGTAAGACTATTTCAAGATGTTAAATTTACTTTCTTTTGACTCTAAATGACTTTATTTCATGTCTCTGAATTTTTAAAAAATGGACAGTTATTAATAATTACTAGGAAATGAATTTGAGTAGACGCAATATTTGAAAACATGAGATTTGCAGTGGAGAAACAATTTTTTGCAAAGACCCTGATGGGGAAAATCTGAATCAGTATTTCATACTTGAAATAGTATAAATAATTTGTTATTATTACATCTTTTTCTGCTCTGTTATTATATAACAACTTTAGTTTTTCATTATTGACCCTTTGCTACAAACATAAAGCTTTATCAAACAAGGAGAAAAATGTTTTGGAAGTTAATGACAGTATCTTTGAGGATCTCTTGAGTAATTTTTAGTAGAGTTAGTAAAACCATGTTATCATGATGTTTGTAGTTATAAATTTTATATGGAGCACTAAACAGGCAAAGAAATTTGATAAAATTAGTAAATAGACTTGCATATATATAATATGTATATATGTATGGTATAAAATGGAAATAAGTTGAAGTGTTATCCAAGAGGAGAGTGCCCCAAGTACACTCTACTTAATATAAGAATAGATATAAATAAGTATATATAAGAATACCAACTGATATATTTATTCAGTAGTTATTGTATGCTAAAGGCAGTATCTCATTTGCTTTATCTCACAACAGCCCTGATAGATAGGATAGGTTATCCTGATTCTCCATATGAAGAAACTAAAGTTCAGAAGGGTTAAGTTACTCATCCAGTGTCATGTAGCTAGTAAGTGGTGGTGGAATCAGAACACAGGTAAAGGTCTTTCTGATTCCTCACTTCATTGTCTGTCCTGTGAAATGGTAAAGGAGAAATGTCAAGTCAGCTTGGAAGAATTCTGCAGAAATCTGGGTTGGAAGTTTACTTTGGATCTTTACACATTATGTATAACAAAATAAATTCCAGATAGGTTAGAGAGTTAACATATTAAAAATGAAAGAAACAATAGAATAAAACTTTAGAAAACTGGGGGGTAGATTTGAGTACCTCTCAAATCTCCAAAAGAGAATGTCTTTTGAATTGTATAGTAATAGAAGAAATCACAAAGTAAATAAGTGTATATTCAGTATAGCTACAATACGTAAAGTTAAATTTTTTTGACTATCAAAACAAAAATATAAATTGACAGAAATTAAGAAAACAACACCCAGTACTGGCAAGAAAGACTGTCATACTTTGCTTAGGATACAGTAAAGCAATAAAGGCCCTTGAGGAACATATGTGATGGACATAAAAGTCTTCATCCTTTTGTACCAGTTCTACTTCTGGTAATCTGTTGTATTTTAAACTATAGAAAATGCTATTTCCATGAAAAGTATTTTTGCAGTATTTTTCATAAAACCAAAAAATAAGGCAAATAATCTAAATGTCCAATATGAAGATGGTGATTAAACAGTCAGACCACCAGATGAAATGTTATATAATCATTATTATCAGTGATAATAAAATCTGTGTTTCAGTGTAAAACACTGTGAATGTATAAACTTTTTCATCTTTTTCTCCTCTGTTTTTATTGAGGTTGCAACTGTGGAAATAAGGTAATTAATTCTACCATGAAAGACTGAAATGAAGTATTGTATGTTAAAATCTTAATCTTGATTTTTCAGATATCAGGATTAAGGTGAATTTCTTTGCTTCATCTTCTGAGTTTTTGATAATATGGTTATTTTAAAGTAAAAAGTACATATTCTTTGACCCACAGGATGGGTTTCCAGATTTCCAGGACTCTGTGCAGACACTCTTCCAGCAGGCTAAAGCTAAGAGTGAGGAGCTCACTGCTCTTAGCTCACAGGTAACATCAGCCGTTAGTTAACACTTCATAACAGCTTCGGTGGGTGAAAAACTCAATGGCCCCTTCAGCTAGCTTCAGTTTTAAATTCAGTTTCATCCAAAGACTAAATTTATTCCTGGTTGTTTTTACAATGTCATCTGATCCACAGCTGTGTCAACAAGATAGCAGTATCAGCTAGGTTTGGTCTGCTTTGTGAGCAGAACCCAGGATCTGCTACTTCTTCATTCTTTGAGGTTTTGTAGGAAGTAAGACAGATTCTCTACTTAAGAAAACTCAGAAGAAGCAACTTACTATCAGGAAAACAGCCATGTTGACTCTGCATGTATTATAGCTCTGAGATAAAACAATTCTAGTTTTCAATAAAATAGTAATACCAACGTTATAGCTAATGTTGAATCATTTCAATTCATGTGTAATGAAAAACTAATATGTACTTTCAGGTGCTTTTGCTACTAAGTAATTTTATTGTATACACAGAAATTAACATTTTTAAAAGTCATTTTTGCCTTTTAGTAGGTACTGTAAGTTTTATTCTGATTGATCTTCTCACTTCTAATGACCAGTTTGCTTTTGGTCAGATTTAGTGGTGCCAAGTTTTGTGTTTTCTTGTGAAGAGGATGAAAAATAAGTTTTCTTCCTCCAGAAATCTTATTGAAATTTTATTAATTAGTAATAAATGAATTGGAAGTTATGATTCCTTTTAATCTGGTTTATTTGATTCAGAAAAATAGTCATATGTGTTAGCATATTTCACCTATTGATTTTTACTATTGCGAATCAGGATTATTGTAACTAATTTTATATAGCATATTCCTTGTATGAGTCTCCTGTGTATGAATCCTCTATGTAGCATAGCAGCGATTCATACCTGTGCCTTTGGACTATTACCTCCTTGGCAAAATATCACAAATACAGTGCTCTGAATATCACACACAGGTAATTTAGAACAGTGCATAGAGAAGGGACTTAGAAAACACACGTAGATATAAATTTACATGTCAGCCAACTAATTGTGTATTTTAAAACATGTCATTTGATGAGTGGTTGGAAAATACTGCAGTTTCATTCCATGATGAGGGTGAAGATCCTCGTTGGCACTGAGGTTTTTCTGCATAATTTGCATTGTTTAATTTTGGTGGGAGGTGTGTTTGTCTGGTTCTTCTAGACAGCCGTTTTACACCTTTTCTCCCCCAAACATACTGTCATCATATCGGAGTTTGTGTAGTGCCAAATCCTAAAATAAAAACGCCAAGATTCCACCCTGTGTTAGAAGCAGTTTATAGCAGATGGTGCTGTTGCTCTGAGGTTCTTTTTTTAAAAAAATCTTTAAAAGGACTTGGTACCTTGGAAAACAAAGCTAAGGTTATTCTGCTTTTAAGCTAGAATGGAATTCTCTTTATAGGACTGAGCAGAAAGCTTTTTTTCCTTTTGTACAAAATCCAACATTCTGTGTTTTAACATGATGGTATAGACATCGGTGCATATTTATGGAACGTGTATACCACATGAAGTGTGAACTAATTTTAATGAATACTAAATATATTTGCTGGAGTCTGAAATTGGCATCTTTAGACCATTAAAAAATCTAGGATGTTTTAGTTATTTTATTTTCGCTTTACTTACTAGCAGCCTGAAAAGGTGATGGCAAAGCAGATGGAGTTCCTTTGCACCCAAGCTGGCTATGACCGGCTGCAGCATGCTGAAAGAAGACTGTCTGCAGGACTGTACAGGCAGAGCTCAGATGAGCACAGCCCTAACGGTCTGACTTCAGACAGTGCCGAGGGACAAGGTACGTCCTGAGAGGGACCCGCACCTTCAGTGCCGGCTGCTCTGGGCACTTCAAAGAGAAACAAGCCAAAATGTGCTTCTAGTTCTCTATCAGAATTTTTAAATTGTCCCTTTTTCTAAAGAGGAAAGAATTCTTCCTGCAAATTTAATTTGTAGGTTTTTTTTTTAACCTTGTTGTTTAGTTGCTACGTTGTGTCTGACTCTTTGAGACCCACATGGACTGCAGCATGCCAGGCTTCCCTGTCCTTCACTATCTCCCGGAGTTTGCGCAGACTCATGTCCAATGAGTCGGTGATGCCATCCAACCATCTCATCCTCTGTCACCCCCTTCTCCTCCCGCCCTCAGTCTTCCCCAGCATCAGGGTCTTTTCCAATGAATCGGCTCTTTGCATCAGGTGGCCAAAGTATTGGGGCATCAGCTTCAGCATTCGATTCATCCTTGCAGTGAATATTCAGGGTTGATTTCCTTTAGGATTGACTGTTTTGATCTGCTTGCAGTCCAAGGGACTGTGAAGAGTCTTCCCTAGCACCACAACCCTAAACAAGAGCTGGCCCATGTAACTGACATGTATTTTGTAGAGGGTGGATGGGAGATGTAAACAGTATAGATCATTTTTCCTCAAGAAATTAATTCCATGGGAGATGTTAATCATTTTTTAAAAGACTAAAACTTTATTTTTTTAAGACTACATAAGCAGATTTGTCTGAAATTTATAACATTTGGTTCCTAACAGAGTGTGGTAACTGTGTCTAAAATACTATGACAAAATAAGAGATTTGAAGAGAGTATAAGAAGGGAGAGACTTGTAGAAATGTCATCTTCTTTCAGGCTTCATGTTGTTCTGTAGACTCGGAAGATATTTTGTGTGGTGTATACTTCGGAAATTGTTCTCTTAAACTCTTTAGATGTAAAAGGCTTTGCTTCTTGAGTATTTTAACCAGTTTTTAAATTACTTCATTTGTATTTGCACATGAAGAAAATTCCAAGTGACTGTCATGCACTCATTCAGCAAATATTTTTTTGTATCTCCTGTGTGCCACACTTCTAGATATTGAAAATGTAGCGGTAAGTCAGATAGACCCTGCTCCCTTGGGGCTTATGCTCCAATGGAGAAAGATGGATAGCATCGAAGTATCAGAGTAGATCCTCTAGTTTCAAATAGTGATAGTGTTTGAAGAAAAGCAACTTTGTAGGACCTTTTTTATGTATTACTGTTATACCCTTTTAGAGAGTGGTTACTATAGTCAAAAAAATAAGATTTCTAAATAGGAATACCATCCTAACCAGCCTTCTTCAACTATAGAGTAAAACATTACACGTTAGCAGATCAGAGTAGTGGTGAAGAACATTCTTCCTTTAAAATATTACAGAAACTTTAGTGGAGGTCTTGTTTAACTTCTCCAGTCATCCTTGACAGTTAAGATTAGAGTTAAGAAATGTTAGTCATTCAGTTGTGTCCAATCCTTTGCCACCCCGTGGACTGTACCCCACCTGGCTCCTCTGTCCATAGAATTCTCCAGGCAGGAATACTGGAGTGGGTGGCCATTCCCTTCTCCAGGGGACCTTCCCGACCCAGAGATTGAAACCAGGTCTCCTGCATTGAAGGCAGATTCTTTACCATCTGAGCCACAGAAGAGATTTCTTGTCAATAGAATTTGTTATTACATGATTAATGACCTACCTTTGTAAAATGGCTACACTAATAAGAAAATGCCTAGAAATCTCAGTCTTTTGTTTCATTTGTGATTAGCTTGTCGAAGTGTCCTGACAGAACAATAAATTGTGAGACTAGCTTGAATTGCCATTTCCTTCCTCAATTATTATCTTAAATATTTCTCCAGCTAGCATTTAAATTCTTGAGGGCCTGTTGACTTTCCTTACTTATTTCTTAAGGAGTGTTCAGGCATTTCATGGAAACTTATTTTTAAGAAAGCCGTGATGCATTTTTAATTATTCATATTCCTGTTTTTCTTTTCATTAGGAGAAAGACCTCTGAATCTCCGAATGCCTAATTTACAGAACAGACAACCCCATCATTTTGTGGTGGATGGGGAGCTGAGTAGACATTACTCCAGTGAGGCACAGTCCCACTCATCAGGTGAAAATGTAGGCTGTGATTAGAGGGAGTCATACTTGAATAAAACGTATTTTGATTCTAATCTCCTAACTTCTGTTTGTCCCTCCTTAAAAAGGGGTCATTGCTAATACTGTTACTGGTCAGTTTTCTCGCCTTGGAAATAATAGATTGCCATATTAACAGCCAGTTTTGCTTTGTTTTGTTTTTTTTGAAAACATGATATCCCAAAGAATAGACAGGGAAAAGCTCTTGAAGGTTGAGATTATTTTGATTACCTATTACATGAATGGTGGCTTTATGCAAGATTGTAAATCAGGTAATAAATGACTGGCTTTAGATATTATATTCCCTTTTCCAGCCTTTCATAATATGAAATTGATTATATGTTTGCTGTCTTGCTAAGAGAACCACTTGTGTTTTTCTAAAATCTAAACTTTTCAAGCAACTGCATTTGGGAGGTGATATTTGTATTTCAGAAGTAAACTGAATTTCATAAAAGGGCAAGCCGTTCCTCATATAGTCGCTGTTTTCATGTTTTTATGCAAGTAAAGTGAGTTAGAGTTAAAGGTATTAGAGACCAACACCATTTGAAAGAATCCAGTATTGTTCAGTCTGAGTTAAAGTAACTTTAAGAGTCACTTGAACTCAGTTGTCTCATCTGTAAAACATAATTTCTGCTTCATTGAATAGTTAGGAGAATTAAACAGGATAACCTGTATGAATTGCCTGGCTGATAGGAATTCAGTAAATGGTAGCTACTATTACTCTTTGTATGCTGAATTTCTGTACAGAGAGGGACATTCATAAAGTCAACTTCCTAATCTCAGCTAAGCTATTAATATTGGTTACTTTTCTAGAATCCTTTTTACAGTGTATGTGTGCATCCCCCAGTATTAATACTTCACATAAATACTACATTTTATTGTCATTCTGTAGCGTGTGTTTGAGGTTCAAATAATTATTCATGTAACTCTTAAGGAATGAGTCCTTATGAAAAATAGAATCTTCATTGTTTTATCCCTGTTTCTCCCACATTAAGGTTTTGTGACTAGAGAAACTTAAAAGTAGTCCCATGTTTAAACATGGAAAATGTCTTTCTGCCTCATGTCTTCACTGGTAGTAAATATTTTGGCCAGTAATTTGTTGTTTGTGAGTGACCAGTTTTATTTTAGATATTTTACTTATCACTTTGGACCAAGCATTAAATAAAAATCAGTAAGTTCTATATGCTGTGTGCTTTACATGAGTTTTGTAATTTAGATTTCATACTACCATGTGTAGATCCTATCCACATTTTATAGATGAAGACACTAAGGCTTAGAGAGATGTGTAACTTGCCTAAAGATGTATACAGCTAGTAATTGGTAGAAATGGAGTATAAATCCAGAATCCAAAATTTTAGCCACAATTTTATAAACATAAAAATTTTATACGGAATTGCAGTTACGAATAGTTGATACTGCTTGCTTTGGGGTTTGAGTTTGGGGGTTTCTTTTTGGGTTTTTTTGTGACCTTTGATTTAAAGTATTAATATATTTTGTGTTTCCATTTTTATAGAGAGCCTTGGGATTTTAAAAGACTACCCTCACTCAGCTTTTACTTTGGAAAAGAAAGTCATCAAAACAGAGCCTGAAGATTCAAGATAGCTGTGATTCTTCACTGTTCTCTGGAAACGGCATCAGAGCTAAGGATAATGCTCCATCATAGAAATAAGCCTTAATAACCAATGTTGCCTCATTCAGCACAAACAGATTTCATAGCCAAAGCATAAGGACTGATACAGTAGTCTGGAAACCAGGAAGACAAAACTACAGCCACAAAGGAGTAAATTGAGAGAATGTTGCAATCTGTAACAGAAGTACTGATCCACATTCCTGTGTAAGTCATTTTATGTGGAAAGGCTTACAAATTAATACTGTAAGCATTCATTATTTAAGAATGTACAATGTATTTGTGTAATTTATAGAAGTAAAATCTAGATGTTGAGACCTGTTTGGACCAATAGATGTGGATAAAGTTTATTTTACTTGAAATTTCATTGTCCGCTTTAAGTGTTTTACATAAATATTATTGTATGTCAGAGTTTAGAATCTTTGCAGTTATAAAAAAGAAAGTTTAAGTGATGTAGTTGTTGGCAAGGTTGTAAATGACTTTGGAAAAATGGAAAGGAGATACTCAATTTAAGCCAAGGAAAATATTGTAGTTTTAATATCTGATAAAACTGATTTTGTTTAAATAGGAAATGTCTCATTTCTTAGCAGTCAGATGTCATTTTTACTGGCTTAATTAGGCAATAGTTAATAAATACTGGAGTAAAGTTAAAAAGATGAGCAATAGAGTAGAAAAATCTCTCCTACCTGGTTGATCCAGGTTGCGTTCTGTGATAGCTACTTAAAGGGTAACGAAAATACGAAGCTGCTCCTTGGACAGAGAACCTGAAATAGATGGACCGATGCACAAAAGCCTTGACTTAAACACTGTTATTTCAGAACGTGTTATAGATTGAGACATAGTTAAGTTAATCCTAAATGTGATAAGAATGATGACTGTTAACAAAGGCTATATATATAGTAGAGTAAGCACTGTTTTATATCCAGAAATTCCTGTACGTAGAAAATCCTTTTCTACATACCAGAGTCAGAGAAGCTAGATGGTTCTCCCTGGGGAACATCTTCCCATCCAAACTGTTCACAGTTGTGGACGACCGGTGCATCCACATTTGCAGGCATATTTCTATGGAGGTTTAGTTGACGCCTATATTCATTATTTATTTTACAATTTCATTTTTGTATACTTTTTGGATTTATGAATGCAGTTTTTTCTTAAAACTCAGTTTAACTTGAAAATCGGTTTTAATTCTCCCTGTTTAGTTAGTGGGCTGTATACATATATATGAGTGTGCTTAAATGTTAATAACATACTTGCATACTTACCAGAATTTCCCATTGGAATCCATAGTGAAAAACAAATACTACTTCTACCAATGTATGTTTTTTCTGTTGGCTTAAGAGGAGAAGATGTTTGACAGCTTTACCTCCTTCCTCCAGATTTAAACCCAGATATTGCCCAGGAGAGTGTATTGACTTGGAATTGGAATATGTGTTTTTTGTTTTCAATTCTGCTCTAGGTCATAACGGAATAAAGAATATTAAGTTGTAGTCTATTATATTAAAATTCGTCAGCCAGATGTCAGATGAAATGTCTGCATTGTAGTCCCGGATCACTGTCACATATGTAATTCCTTTTTCGTGTGGATTTGTAGAATAGCTTTACAGTAGAGACACCAGTAAACAACTTTTATACTGTTAAAAGGCTTTTTTCCCCTTCTTAAATGTTTTAATTGTACCATAGTGTTTTGCCCACTGAAGAAGCTTTTTATGGACCTTGCAACTTTGTTGCTAGCTTGAGGTTGATAATTGTGGTTGTTCACTGTATGTAGAAATAGTATGAATATGATTTACATAGATTGTTCAGTTTTTAATATTAGCCATAGAACTGGTTAGTATCTCAGTAGTTTCATGAAACGTTTCCTGTATTCTAATCTATTTTGAGAAATTTTGTGGGTTTTTTTTTATTGTGTCTTATAGTTCAAGTTTGTAGATTTTAATAAGCAACAGTTTTTAAAGATGTGATAAATCTTCCAACTAATATTTATCTGTCTTTCATGACCACACAAACTGCACCTTTAAATCCATGAATAAGTTTCCTTAAGTATCATCCTTCTCTGGTCTTCCTGTGCTGGGTGATAGGGGGAAGCACAAGAAAAATTTCAGTAGAATCCAGTTTTTATTTTGTAAACACTAATGTATTAAACTTGCTATACATTGAAGCAAATAATATATATTTTTATTTGAATTGTATATATGAATTGGATGTTATAACTAGTCGATTTTTTTCACTGTGTTAGAGGTATTTTCACTGAACAAGGTCAATTGGTTACCTCAGTATTACAGCCAATATAGTCCAAGGGACCATCTCTCTCAAGTCTCCTGTTGTACTTTATTATGTGAAGCCCTCGTTTCTGTGACTCTCAAAGCTGTTGGTGAGGTGGGATGAGTGCACTTGCTTCCTGTGGCAATAAAGACTTCGTGTGCCTCACACATCTATGTTTATAGAGCTCTCTGCATAGCATTCCTCACAGTAGTGCTAGCCTACCTGTCTCCCCTCGCATTTGCTCTGGGCATGAGTGTTAGGACCCGGGGCTTCTGTCTTAAGACTTACTGTCGGCGGCCTTCATTTCTATAAGGTTATCTAGCAGGCAGGCAGTCAGTTTACTCTGGCTCTCAGAGAATTTGGTTTATATTGTTCTCACTTATAAGAAGGTTACAAAGACATTTTGAAAACTACCCACCGTATCTAACCAACTAAATAAATAAAAAGGGGGAACATTAGGATTTAACACTTTGCAAACATACTAATATTTGCAAAGTGTTAATGTGACTTGGCCTTAGTATTAAGGGCTATATATGAAATTGAACTAACCTGTGGTAGAGAATCAGCAAAAGCCTTGCTGTGAAATTGTAATGGGTGAAGTTTGGTAGATTAATGGCTTCAACGCAGAGCCAGTGGCTCGGGTGAGGGTGGAGGCCGCAGAAAAACTATAAGACGTGATCTTTGCCCTTTGGGAACCCAATACCTAGTTGAGTGGGAATTATTGTCACTCAGATAAAATCCAGATTCCAGTGTGTTACAGAGGAATAAATAAGGAACTGACATTTAACTCAATTCTGTGTTCAGTAGGCGTAAAAGTAGGGAGTAAAAGCTTTACAGGTGAAAGAAAGCACATTTAGTGAGTGAGACTGGTGATGAGCCAGGACTGGAAAGATGTGGGGTGTGGCTATAAAGCTGTAGTGGGCATGCATTTCACTTGGAGGTCACTTTTTTTAAAGTTACAAAGCTGAATGCTTCAAAATAATGCTTGCCATGGATAATCATTCTTTTGACAGTCCCAATGAACTTGTGAAAAAGCAGGGGCTTAATGTGTTAAGACTGAGGATTATTGTCAGCGGCCTTCATTTCTGTGAAGTTACTCGGCAGGCAGGTGCTCAGCAGCTCTTCTGTCAGAAAGAGAATTTGGTTTATATTGTTCTCACTTAATGAGAAGGTTACGAAGACTTTTTGAAAACTACCCACGTATCTAACCAACTAAATAAATAAAAGGGGGGGACATCAGGATTTAAGACTTTGCAAACTTACTAATATTTGCGGAGTGTTAATGTAACTAGGCCTCGGTATTAAGGCTTATGCTTTTTCCTGTCCTTAATTAGTAAAACCGCCTAGGGAAAAGCTCTAGGATTTGGTGATTATGAGCACCTAGTGAACCTTTACAGTTTAAGAACTGAAGCCTAAATAAGCATGTAAGGAGTTTCCTAACATGGTCTACTCACTTAGCTACTCAAATGTTTAAGTGTTACTGACACAATACCCATTGTGCTTGTGATTTCACTTAATACTGCACTGACTCTTCAAAAGAAAATCAACCGAGGTATTAACCTAGTGAAACTAGGAGGTCTGTCTCTTATAGGAAGTGAATTCATCAGTAAATAGCTGAAGTTGGAGTTGAGCAAACATGTTTGTGTTTGTAACAGCTTGAAGCATAAGACCAAATATGGTAGCTGCTATTTAACTAAAAACCACCTTATGGTCCAGCTGTGTGCATGGGTGGTGTTTCAGGGAATCCAGACTTATTTATTTGTTATTATCTGTGGGTGTTCTCATAAATGAGATTCTTAAGTGGGCCTCTAAACTTAATAAAAGAATGATCCAATGTCAAGAAATTTGTTTTTTATTGTAAATATGCTTAATTTCAGAAAACCTTACTGTTGATTATTTTCTTAGTGGCTCTATAAGATGATTCTTATTTTACACTGAAACGATCAAAAGCTAAATGTAGTGTTTTTCTTTGAGTATGCAGCAGTTACAGCTTTAAAATCTCTGGCCTCTGTTTCTACTGACCTACGAAAATTTTTTTAAAAAGAAAAAACCACCTCTATGGTGTTTGAAATTTTTTGTGCAGAGAAAGCTAATCAAGTTTATTTTGTAAATTCACTATCAATTTATTAAAGTTAGAATCCAAAAACTTACGGTGTTTTAAGTTTTTAAGTTTATCTTATAAATTTTTTTTCTGTCTATAAGCTTAGCAGTTTTTAGGGAACTATGAATAATCAGTTGGTTCCATTTACAAAATTGGCTTAAAAATCCCTTATATTTTTATTCTTTCATACTCTTCCTGTCTTCTAAGGGCCACAATTTTGAATTATTAAAGCAATATCCTATTGAATTCTAGGTCTCCTGGTTGGGTCTGTTTGATCACAGCTTCCAAGGTTATTTTTCTGACAGCTAAATAATCTACTTCCGAGTATTGCTCCCAATAAGGTTAAAGGTCTAGTTTTTACCAATTCATCTTAATTAGTGGAAATTTTTATGACATTTTTGTAGCAACTGCATAAAACTCTCAAGGAACATCACAAATGAATTACAGAAAATACTGATCTTAGTTTTATTGCAACATTCAGATCAAATATTTAGTTATGATCCTTTTTCTGTTTTACTGCCTGATTCCAGACACTTAAGTGAGAAGTTACCTTGAATTTTTTTAGTCTACTGTATAATTTCTGTCTATTTAAGTTTTCCAGTGTAGCTTCTCAAAAGAATTGATTTCTTCACAGTATCAGAAATAGTTAGTTGAATGCTGCCATCAAACATAATATTGCAAAATGCAGATTAAGGACATGTAACACTGGTTTAAGATGATACCACCACACAAGTGTTAACAATCAACCCAAGAATTTTTCTCATCAGCCTATTAAGAGTGACAGATTTTTGTCAATTTCCTGGTAGTCCAAACAATTTGGTACTCTACCAAGGCTAGTTTTGCTGTGGGTGAGCACCAGTGACGGTATAAGTTAAGATTGTGCTTCATATTTACACATTCTGAAACTTTATGAGTCATCTTTGCATTAAAAGTTTGCACCTCATAAATTTATGCTTAAAAGTGCCATGTTCAACACCCACACACAATCCTAAGCAAGTAAGGCCATTCTCTTGTAACTGTCACAGACAGCCTCTGCTGACAGGTCATTTAGGCTCAAGTATGTAGGAAGATATTTAAGTAGTGCACACGTAGGTGGAATCTTACTGGTAACTGGCTCGGCTGAGGATTTCATAGTTTTCTGAGACTCCATACCGTCCTCAACTGTGAACTCTTAAACCAAACATCTGTGGTCTAGCCCCATACCCTGTTATTTAGTAGCCTTCCCAGAAGACAGTGATTTTTTTTTGGTTACCTTTTTTTTTTCCTTTAGGCCTTCCGGGTTCCCTTCTTTTTGTTTCCATTTTTAAGGAAGAGGTACAACGCGCTTTTTACCCTTAAGTCTCTGACAACATAATGTGAGCATGTTTTCCATCAGCAGTTAAAATGGACGAGGTCGTCTTTTTCCTTTCTGAATTCAGCCAGTTATTCTATCAGAATATGCTCATACATTGATTGACGGAACTTCTGCATGCATCAGCTAATTCTCAAGTTGGAGCACATCTTTCTGCTTGTTATCAGTGAGAAGACAGCTTGACTGATGAGATAGACCTATCACAGATATAACCAGATACTTAATTCCAATTCTTAGAGTTTTAAAAAACCATTCACTTGTAAAAAATATATATATATATGTGTGTGTATATATATATAATTGTGAAATCTAGTTTATTCTCCTTTCCTGAACTGAGTGGAAAAATTCTGGAAGTAGCACCTTTATTGAAAGCTTGCAGGCTATCTTTATCATTACAGTTGTGACCTAATTAATCCCTTTCCACAAACCAGCAAATTTGGCACTGATTTCCTCTTTTTATGAAAGAAAAACTACATTGAGAGGTTTGGAAGCTCATTGATAGCTTGAGAAGGAATTAATTTGCAGGTGACAGTTGTTTCTACTTTGGTTTCTGTTCTTAAAGAAAGAAAACCTCTGTGCATTTTAAGCCCCAAAGTTGCCTCCAGCTCCTTTATGTGGACCAGTGTGAGGGCTCCAGTGAGACAAAGAAGGTTGAGGAAAGAAGCAGCATAGGACTGACAGTCTCAAGTATAAAGATTGTTACTTTGTTTCTTTAATGGTCAGTCTTCAGAGAAATCATGTGTCCCAGCCTCAAATATAAAGATTGTTACTTTGTTTCTTTAATGGACAGTCTTCAGAGAAATCGTGTGTCCCAGCCTCAAATATAAAGATTGTTACTTTGTTTCTTTAATGGACAGTCTTCAGAGAAATCATGTGTCATTTTGTTAAGTATTTTCTTAAAACTCCAGGGTTTTCTAAATATGGCAAAAATTACCATAAACATTTTTTAGTCATGCGTCTGAGAACAAAGTGACTATCAGAACAAATTAAGGTATGGCTCCTGAACTTGAAACATGTATAATACTAAACAGATGACATTATTGAGGACAAATTCAAAGAATAAGAATTACAAACAGCTCACATCCAGACCCATACTCTGCCTTCACTGCAGGGCACGTGTACCTGGAATGGGTATCGTTGCCAGCTGTCTTGGAGGCTGCTTGCGGGGTCGGGGGTGGGGAGGCGGACCGTGAGCTCTGCCGGACACTGCGTTTGACAGGCCCTCAGTTTGTCTTAGTGGAGCTGGGGATCAGGAAAGTCTGGAGCTCGGATCAAGACAGGGTTCGTGGGTTTGGGCGCTAAACTCTCATGAATGGTGGGTGGAGCGATCAGAGGGAGAGAGCACGGGAATAGGAGAAAGAGTCCTGGGAAATACTAACACGGAGCAGGCGGGATGAGAAGAGCTGCCAGACACGCAAGAAAGGGCAGTTAGAAGAGCGGAGAGAGGATTAACCCCCAGGAAGCTACAGAGGAGGTCGTCAGTTAGTCAGCGTAGGTGAGAGCAAGTAGGATGAGAACAGGCTGTTGGGCCTGATTGTTGAATAGGTCTTTGGTAACCTTTTAAGAGAGTGCTACCAAACAGGGTAATGGGGGGAAAAGAACTGATGCAACTCTTCAGTGCGATTTACCAAAGTAAACAACATACTGATAAAAGGAACTGAGTATGAAAATTAGTAGTGACTTTGATTGATGGCCTCTTTCATCCAAGCATAAGG